AAAAAGAACAAGATAAACATTGAAGAAAGGGATAATGAAGAAACGTACATTGTATTTAAATATCCACACCTTGGAACGGAGCTAGAAGTGCGAGTATCACCCGAATCTGACGACCCGGCCCGAGTTATGCCGGCCCAAATCGGAGATACCGGCTCCCGAGCAAGCCGGAGCGAGACGCACGAGTCCGGGCGTTCCCGGTGGCGTGGAAATGATCACGTGCCGCGCGTGTTGAGCGCTCGCACGCCGCCACTTCCGCTTATGTCAGCGCCAGCCACGGAAAGCGAGGAGTCCGCAACCGCCCCCTCTGCTTGGTCCCACATCGCCGCCGCCGACGCTGCCGCCGCCGCTTTCGACTACCGACTCGCCAACCGCCAACACGACACCGACTCCGATACCACCCCGAGCACGCCCGACACTGCCGAACGGGAAGCATTCGAGCGCGCAATCGCGCGCGCCGTTGGCCCACTATCATCGATGACTATTGCTGCCACCAATGGCTATCGGCCCCTCATCCGCCGGCGGAGTCTCGACCCTGACAACGTCGAAGAAGTGCCAGAGACCCCCGAGGTATCGGAACGCGAAGCGCCCAGGCACACGACGGGGTACGCCGTCGGCCCGCCGTTGACGAATACGGCTCCCTCAACGCCCACTACTTCAAGTATCGAGGCACCGCGTTCACCATCCATACACGGTGAGCGACCCTTCCACTACATACTGCTGAATATGCGCAATAGGGAGGACACACGCTTGTATGCGCGACCGATCGGAGCGGGATTATGGTATCGACTGGAGGCTTCCGAGGACGAGAGTGAGGAAGATTGGGCGAGATCGGTAAGAGATCTAGTAGCTTGGTTTGATACGACTTTTATCCTATCGACTAACGAGCGGCGTCGTGTAGTGATCGGGCTAGGCCCAGTCGAACATGACAACGAAGTCTTCGACTCACCTCCTCCACCTCCTACGCCGGCACCAGGAACCTACTGTCTCGCACATTACTCAGAAGATGACGCGAGCAATGCGTCCGCGTCAGAAGACGACGAGATACACAAACTACGAACCGACGACCAGGTGGGTGTCATTAGTCTAGTATCACCATCGTCGTCGTTGCCAAGTCCAACCGCGCTAGACTACCGCCGAGAAGACGATGCCTTAGCCCAGCCACCATCGGAGGATAAGCTAGGGCACGAAGAGTTCACCACGGACGACCGAAGTAGCGCCGCAATCAGCACAGACGCTCTGTCGCCATCACCACCGATACCATCGTCAACGTTACCATCCGCGATAGGAGCTCGGGCCCGCACTACCGAGCAACAATGCAAGACTACAGATGCATTCGTCCAAACCACAGGTACGTGGTCGCCGACGCCGTTGCTCTCGACGCGACTCACGTCATCACCAGTTGTTGGACTACCAGTACAATACGCTACGGAAACATCGACGAGGTCGGTCGATGCCGCAAGTGCCACAGCTCAGCAAGAAGCCCCAATGCTATGTGTGACTGAGACACGACGATCTATGCTAACAACGACTACGCCCCTGACAGACAACGAAGCCAACCGACAGCGGTATCACCTGGTAAGCGCGCCGGGCTCAAGTGAGGCGACAACGCTTGACGAAACTCTTCCGTCACCCAGACAACATGCCCATAGCCCCGAAGACGGCCGACCGTCGCATCCACCAACGTACGCTAGACCAGCCATGTCGACACTTTCGCTCCCGAACTGGCCGCCTGACGAGCGCGGATCGGTCCTCCGCGACATTGTTATCACTTTCTTCAATATCGAACATCCCCGCATTTGGACACGGCGCCGAGCTGACTTGCCAGGTTGGCAAGAGATGCAAGACCTTCTCAGGACGACTACAGCAGTACCCCCGGCGTTTGAAGTAAGTCATGTCTTTGGGATGTTCGAAGCCCCTATCGAGATTCACGAGAATCTACAGGCGCGTATGCATATCGCCATATCGTTAGCCGAAGAAGACGACTCAGACTCTGAGCTGAGTGTTGAACGCACGGACTCAGACACGCAGAGCAGTGACGCACCCTCCAGTAGGAACCCGGAAGGACCGATGTACGGGTCAGAAACTCGGTCGAGCACAACTATCGAAACCCGGGAGGCCGAAGAGAACTTCGCTTACGCTAGAGGGGCTTGGGAGGCTTCACCGCCGGAGTTCGACGGCGACGTCTATGGTGAGCAAGTACCCCGCGTACTCGGGCTTCGGAGTGACGACTATGTCCAACAGAATTGTGCAATGACACCCACGATTTTCGGCAACGATACGCAAACGGCAACTATCGCCAAACTACCGCACAAGTACGGCGTCTGGGCGGAGGGTCCATCGCATCCCCTGGGGCCCACGACATTCATTGGACGAAAGGATATCCGATTACCGGAGGATGCGAAGAGTGCCATCGTCGACGACCACCCTGCTGTAACGTATATAAGAAGCACCATTGACCTCGACTCGTCAGAAACTATCTACTTGCGAATCTCTCGAGCCCCCATTCAACCTCCACACTACAACAACCATTTCGACCTCTTTGCTCACCATGTCCGACAACTACGACGCCGCCCCGCGCCCGATCGTCTTCGGGGAGGGCTTGCCGCTGACGTTCAACTTCGACTTCCCCCTTCAACGACCCAGCCGCCGCT